ATTTTTTCGTTTTTTCTTCTAGTTTTTTCTTTTGTCTCTTTGATTTTGATTTTTTCTTTTTCCTTTTCTTTTGATTTTGAACTTTAATTTTTCTAACTTCAACTTTTCTTTTTCATTTTTTTCTTCCTTTTTTCATTTTTCTTTTTATATAGACTTTATGTCTTCTGTTCCTTTAATTTTGAACTCCTACTTAATAAAATTGGTTGGTCTAAAATAAGGAATCAATTCTTTTTTATAATCTACATGTATGAGCTTACTGCATACACAAATTGATATTTAAGCATACTCAAGATTTTAAATGAGTTTTTAAAATTTTTGATGCTCATTTCGTAAATTATCTATGCTCATTTGATATTGGTGTAATGCTCATTTTAAAATGAGCATTACACTAGATAACTTAAATGTCATATCCATGCATATTGGTGTAATGCTCATTTTGAACTTTTTGTTACTCATTTCAGACGTTATATATTCACATTTAATATTTGAGCATACTAGATATCTTAAATGATCTTTCTGAATTTTTTGGTGTTCATTTCGTAAGTATGTATACTCATTGGATATTGGTGTAATGCTCATTATAAGTATAAAAGAGTAAGGAAAAGAACCTAATAAGGCCCACAAAAAAGGCCCAGTTAAGAAAGACAATCCATTTAATTAAAACACCCTAATTTTTTAGGTGGCATTTCTGTAATTTAAGTGAAAGTCACGGCTCCCGCTAAATGAGCAATAGTGTACTTTTAGTGAGCATATGACCTATTGTATTGAGTATTATGAAGCTAACAATGAGTAAAAATGAACATAACATCAGTACCAAATGAGCATACATAGCCTACAAAGTGCTCATTGATATATGGCCCAGGGACCCCCGGCCCACATACTTCCTCTACTACAATCAGGCCCGACAGGCCCAAACGGGCTAAGCCCAGAAAAATGGAGCTCTAAGCAGCCCACAATACGCAAAGGGGTGCCTTCGGCCCCCTGGCCGAAGGCTACCAGTGACGGAATCGAGCTCAGAAACATCACAGGAGAACAAGGCTTGAAAACCAAGCCTTCGGCACCTGCAGCCTTCGGCAGGTAGGAGCCCTCGGTTAGAAGAGCCTTCGGCCCAGCACCCTTCAGCCGAAGGCATCCACCTAGACAGAATATCCTCTTCACATGCGCCTGAATCATTGTACCAAGTACAAACGTCACATCCAACCACCGCATTTAATGCGGCCACATGCGAGTGCCAGTGCCACCCCGGTCGAAGTGACCACTCGACCACCAGAAAACTGACACGTGTCCTTATCTAGCATTTATTACTACTATAAATAGCAACCCATTTCTCCATTTGTAACCAAGACACAACACGCTGAAGACGCTTAATACATATCGAATATACACTCTCTCTCTTACTTATTTGCTCTGACTTCTCTCTAGTTATTCTCCGCAATAACCCCTCGGATAAGCTACCCCCCGGGTACACTATCCATCATTTGGTGCTCTCGTTGAGAGCCGAACAATCAAGTAAGAAACCCCCCCCCTCGACCAAACACAAAACACCCAGCTAAAATGGTGAGAACAACCCGTGCCCAATCCAAGACTCATGAGGACAGGAACCTGGCCCTCAGCGACGTCGACGCCCTCGAAGCCTCTAACATGGCTCCCGAGGGCGGCGCCCTCGCTGGGTTGGAACAGACGGCTGTCGACCTGCGCCTTCAGCTCCAACACAATGCCCTCGATGCCCGCCTTGGCATCGAGGCCAAAAAGAAGGACCGGAGCGAAAACCAAATGAGCCCTCCGGTTCTCACCATTGACGTACAATCGGCGCTCTCCGCCTTCATCCAGATGCTCACCCAGAACCCGGGTGCCTTTGGCACTTTGGTTCCCCTCCAACCTCAGGTCGGGGAGAATATTATGCCTCCCCCTCATCCACACCCCCTCAGGAACCCGGTCCTCCGGATTGGGAACTTCGAGGGGGTCGTGGCCCAAGATACGGCCTCCCAGGAAGTCCAATCCCGGGACCGCCACAACGTAAACAAAGAACAACTCCGGACCTCCGTCCTCGAGAGACTCGGAGGGACGCAAGATCGCCGAGGGGTCCAAGACCGCCTCGGGGGGAAGGCGTTCCAGAGGCCTCAGGAAAGTGGCGGATCCGTCTCCAGGGCCAATGAAAGGCGTCCCCCTCAGGACAAAGGCAAGGCATCTCTCCATGTCAACGACGCCCGCCATCAAATCAACCAGGCCCACTCGGCCCGCGTCCATTCGCAGGGGGCGGAGGCCCTCCCGAAGGACCCCCAGGACGAAATCATTGCGGCCCTCCAGCGCCGGCTCGACAAGATGGAGGCCACCAAAGCACACGCCACCACTTCTGCCCCTCATACAGACCTCAAGTATGAGGCGATGTTGGCCAAAATGGAGGAGATGCAAAGGAATTTTGCCGAAGGCTCCGGGGAACCCGTCATCCAACTCTGAACTAGGACGCCATTTACCCCAAGGGTATTGGCGGCCCAAATCCCGGAAAAGTACCGAGGGCAACTCATCAAGCCCTATGAAGGAAAAACTGACCCCCAGGAGCATTACAACAGGTATCAAAACAACATGAAGATGATGGGGGCATCAGATGAATACTTATGTCGTTGGTTCCTTTCCACCTTGGAGGGACCAACATACGAATGGTTCAACCGATTGCCCGAGGGCAGCATTGACTCTTGGCAAGATTTTGCCCAACGCTTCCTCACCCATTTTGCCGGAAGGAAGCGCGCGAGAAAGCACTTCTCCCAGCTCCTCTCCGTCAAGCAACAGCCTGACGAAACACTTCGGTCCTTCATTGACCGGTGGATGAAGGAGACAGACGAGGTCGAGGGCGCCGACGAGCGTACCCTCCTCATCATCTTCCAGGGGGTTCTCCGCAGCAGCCCCTACGCACGGAGCCTCATCACCTACCCCCCAAGATCATACCTCAGAGCACTCCAGCGGGGGAGCCTATACGCCGACGCCGACGACCTCCACTCCTTCAAGAAAAACGAGGGCCAGCCCTCGAAGAAGACAAACAACATGCCGGCCCCAAATGCGCCCTCGGCCGGAGGCCGAGACCATGGAAGCCACACCCAACAGGGAATCTTAACAAAGCCATTGTCAAACAACGCACCCCTTGTATTCCGCTTATTTCTATGAATTTAAGTAAACTACAACACAATCCAGACATCTTATCGGCCCCTTCGAGGCCAAATGCCTAGGTATAGCCGATGGTGTCTAAAGACGAGGGGCCTGCAAAAGGCCCGCGTTTTTGGAGCAGGATGCTCACCGCGTCGCCGGCGCGCAACGCACAACGACAGGCCTGAAAGAATGGCTGAGGTGACGAAATCCCCAAACTTGGGGGTGAAACGGCAGTCATCGGAAACCGACCAAGCCTAGCCCGCGCCGTAAATAGACGACGGGACCCCCCAAGGTCAAGGGACGGTTCAGCGCCGGGGGACTAACAGACGAACCCCCGGACGGATCACTTGGACCCCCTTCCGGCCGAGGCGGGGAAGCAACCCCCTCGGCCGAAGCCGGAAAGAAGGAACACACATCGGGAGGACTAACATACGACCTCCTGGCACAATCAAGGGACGGCCCAGCGCCGGGGGACTAACAGACGAACCCCCGGACGATCACTTGGACCCCCTTCCGGTCGAGGCGGGGAAGCAACCCCCTCGGTCGAAGCCTGAAAGAAGGAACACACATCGGGAGGACTAACATACGACCTCCTGGCACAATCAAGGGACGGCCCAGCGCTGGGGGACTAACAGACGAACCTCCGGACGGATCACTTGGACCCCCTTTCGGCCAAGGCGGGGAATCAACCCCCTCGGTCGAAGCCTGAAAGAAGGAACATACACCCGGAGGACTCCCGGAACTATCAAGGAAAGGCCCTCGGCCTCAATTCGATTCTACATCACCAACGGCCCTCGACCTCAGCGTGATTCCACATCACAACGGCCCTCGGCCTCAACATCAGAACGACCCTCGGTCTCAAAATCAAAAACGGCCCTCGGCCTCAACATAAGGACGGCCCTCAGCCTCAACATCAACAACGGCCCTCGACCTCAACATCAGACGGCCCTCGGCCTCAACATGACTCTATGTCATAACGGTTTTGGCCTTAGCGTGATCTCACATCACCAACGGCCCTCGGCCTCAGCGTGATTCCACATCACAACGGCCCTCGGCCTCAACATCAGAACAACCCTCGGTCTCAAAATCAACAACGGCCCTCAGTCTCAACATCAGGACGGCCCTCGGCCTCAACATCAACAACGGCCCTCGGCCTTAGCGTGATTCCACATCACAATGGCCCTCGGCCTCAACATGACTCTATGTCATAACGGTTTTTGTCTTACATGATTTCACATCACCAAAGGCCCTCGGCCTCAACGTGATTCAACATCAACAATGGCCCTCGACCTCAGCATCAGAACGGCCCTCAGCCTCAACATCAATAACGGCCCTCGGCCTCAACATCAGACGGCCCTCGGCCTCAACATCTCTATGTCATAACGGTTTTTGCCTTACATGATTTCACATCACCAAAGGCCCTCGGCCTCAACGTGATTCCACATCACAACGGCCCTCGGCCTCAACATCACCAACGGCCCTCGGCCTCAGCGTGATTCCACATCACATTGGCCCTCGGCCTCAACATCAGACGGCCCTCGGCATCAACATCACAACGGCCCTCGGCCTCAACATCAGAACAGCCCTCGGTCTCAAAATCAACAACGGCCCTCGGCCTCAACATCAGGACGGCCCTCGGCCTCAACATCAACAACGGCCCTCGGCCTTAGCGTGATTCCACATCACAATGGCCCTCGGCCTCAACATGACTCTATGTCATAACGGTTTTTGCCTTACATGATTTCACATCACCAAAGGCCCTCAGCCTCAACGTGATTCAACATCAACAATGGCCCTCGGCCTCAGCGCGATTCCACATCACAACGGCCCTCGGCCTCATAATCAGAACTGTAACACCCCCAAATTTCCCACCCAAAACGTTGACATAATCGAAATAAAACTTTTATTTATTCATCAAAGAGTTGAAGAAATACAGCGGAAGTCTAAAATAGGAAATGGGTGTTACCGCCACATCCGGTCATCTCTCAACCGGATGCACAGGCAACTAAAACATAACAACTAATTTAATAAAAACAAAGTGTTTTTAAAGTAAATGCTTATTTCATGACTAGTATAACTAAGGCGACTTCTAATTCGCTCTCGGGCCATGCAAGCAATCATCAATCGATGAAATCATCCTCACCTGCACAAATAAAGTGCAGAAACAAAACAAGGAAAAGAAAACAAAAATTAGCTTTAGAGCTAAGTAAGTACTACCCAACCCCGTAAAATAATCATGTTTGACTAAAATAGATTTTTATATAATAATATATAAAAATACTCACACCATCGAAATTCTTTTCACTTTGATTTTTCTCAAGACTACTTCTTTACAAAAATCCTCAACTTCTCTATAAAACTTCATAATAACTCTTCTCTTTGATTTCCTCAAAAATCACTTCTTCTCTAACTCCCTAGTAATTTAGAAGGGCGGTGCTCAACCTTTCGGTAGAGCCCGGTGGACCGTGGTTACGGACGGCCACCCCGAACAAGTGCCGGTACCACAACTGCTCTGTTGGAAACGGAACGACTACCTTAAGTGTGCACACCCCCTAAAAGGGATTCCAAGCCCCCCGAGTAGTAAGTCGTAACGAGTAGTCGGGACTCAGTCTACCAACTACCCCTGAATAAGATATTTTGAATGATTAGGGATTACTACTACCATAACTTCTTCTTAAAAGGGATCATCGATCCAAATATCACTTTAAACTCAAATTGTACTTCTTAGTAGTAGCAAACCTAATCACCCTCCACATTTATCCGGACGTGGAAAACCGACACCACGGATTTCTCCCGTGATGCTCACCTCTTATAAAAATGTAAATTTTATCTTCAATAAATAATACTTCAAAAATACTTCTCAATTTCTCTAAAAAGTCTTGAAGGTATTTAAAAATATTAAATACCCTAAAAGTACTTAATTTATATTTCTCAACTACCATATATATAATATCTCTTCAAAAATCACATACACAAAATTCAACAATTCACACTTATTCACATAATGCATAATAAGCATATAATACGAGGAAACAATTTTAGATTGGCAGAAAAACTTACCTCAAATCCGATAATTCATAATCAAAGCTTCTATCTTAATCTTCTCCATAATCACCTTCTAAAAATATTAAAATTGTATAATTAATAAATATTCTAGTTCCTTAATAATTATTTCCCAATTATGATTTATTTAACCCTTTTATAATCATTCACTAATCTAATTTAATTCCGTCCATTTTATTGGCCAACCCAAATACCAAATTTCAATTTATAATTTATTATGATTAATTGTTACTCCATATTATTGTCCACCACAACTAACACTACGGGCCTTTTTAAGAAAATAAGCAGCCCAATTTAATAAACAAAAGAGAAACAGTAGAGAAACGTGAACAGAGTACTACGTACTCGTCGATGGCCAAGGACGGAAGAAGGGACGTCTCCTCCGGCGATCTTCTCTCTCCGTCATTTGGTCTCAGCAGCAGATCCCGGCAGATCCTTTTCCGACGTCAACGGCCAGGCTGCAGCTCAACGGTGGTCTAGCGGGCTCTGGTTTACCCCTTCTTCGGCGACGGCTCTTCCTTCTGATGGAACGGCGGTGCAGATAACGAAGGCAATGGCAACGGCGTGCTCTTCGTCTACTTTTGGCGAGCTTTCCGGCGGGATGAAGTGTCGAGCGACGGCGACTCGTTCGTCCTCCTCCGTCACAAAACGATATGGCAGTCCGGCAGTAAGTCCTCCGACGTAGCAGCTTCTCCGGTTGCAGCAGCTCCTCCGGCGTCAATGGCGGCAAGGTCAAAGCTTCGTAGAAACTCCGGTGATGTCTTGGTCCGACGACGATGGTCCATAAACCAGTCCGGCAATGGTTCAGGCGTAGCTTCCTTCCACTTCCTCTGCTTCTGGCGAAGCGGCGAAATAAGATGTACGTAGGAAGGGTCTTCGCAAGCTGGTGACCGAATTCTCTTGCATTTAGTATGTACTTCGTATAACCTTTGATTGGAGGTCGTGGTTCTGATGCAGGATGCAGGTTGAACGAACGTATGCATATACTCCGTATAAGAAGAGGTTTGTGCAGGGATATAAGTATGGAGGTTAGGTACGCGCAGGTTTAGCTTCTTCACAGATGTTCCTTCGCAAATTCGTAAACGATCGTGTATATATATACGGGTCTCAAGGGTGATGATACGTTTACGAAATCTTTCGTATTCATTATTATTCATTAACTTTCCTTATGTTTCATACGTTTCATGCGATTACTTATGTTGTTATTTATGTTGTTATTATTAGTTTTTATTTATTTATTTATAACATTAGTTTTTGGATCCTTTTGCAGGTCAACAACAACAAAAGAAAAAAAAACGTATAGATATACGTATAGTGTTATACGTTAGTATAGTTTATATATTTAGGGGTAAAAATGGGAATTGTGTTTTGTAAAAACAAAATATAGCTTTTACTTCTTATGTCATATGTATAATTGGTACTTGATATAAAATATTACTTCTTTTATCGGACCATTTTTATCTGACTAAAAATGTCACAATTGTTAATTTTCTGTCTGGTTCACTTGTTTCATAAAATGTTGTTCCTATTACTGAAATATTTTTATCTGACTAAGACGTCATAAATTTTGAAATTTTTATCTGATTAGAATGTTACAACTGTTGAATTTTTGTCTGACACAATTAATAATTAAAATGTCACTTCCGTGATATTTTATCTGACTAATAAAAATTATTTTTATTTTTATTTAAATTTTTGGGGTGTCACAAGAACGGCCCTCAGCCTCAACATCAACAACGGCCCTCTACCTCAGCATCAGAACGGCCCTCAGCCTCAACATCAACAACGGCCCTCGGCCTCAGCGTGATGACATCACAATGGCCCTCGGCCTCAACATCAGACGGCCATCGGCCTCAACATGACTATATGTCATAACGGTTTTTGCCTTACATGATTTCACATCACCAAAGGCCCTCGGCCTCAACGTGATTCTACATCAACAATGGCTCTCGGCTTCAGTGTGATTCCACATCACAACGACCCTCGGCCTCAACATCAGAACGGCCCTCGGCCTCAACATCACAACGGCCTTCGGCCTCAGCGTGATTCCACATCACAACAACCCTCGGCCTTCAACCCTCCGACATCTTTATTTGATGTCGGGGGCAATCACACAGGTCCCTCGGCCTTCATCCCCCTGACATCTTTATTTGATGCCAGGGGCTATCATACAGGCCCATCGGCCTTCATCCATCCGGCATCTTTATTTGAAGTCGAGGCCCATCACACAGGCCCCTCGGCCTTCATCCCTCCGGCATCTTTATTTGATGTCGGGGGCAATCACACAGGTCCCTTGGCCTTCATCCCTCCGGCATCTTTATTTGATGCCAGGGGCTATCATACAGGCCCATCGGCCTTCATCCCTCCGGCATCTTTATTTGATGCCGAGGGCCATCACACAGGCCCCTCGGCCTTCATCCCTTCGACATCTTTATTTGATGCTGGGGGCTATCATTCAGGCCCATCGCCCTTCATCCCTCCAGCATCTTTATTTGATGTCGGGGGCAATCACACAGGTCCCTCGGCCTTCATCCCTCCGACATCTTTATTTGATGACAGAGGCTATCATACAGGCCCATCGGCCTTCATCCCTCCGACATCTTTATTTGATGTCGAGGGCCATCACACAGGCCATCGGCCTTCAGCCCTCCGACATCTTTATTTGATGAAAGGAGCTATCATACAGGCCCCTCGGCCTTCATCCCTCCGACATCTTTATTTGATGTCGGGGGCCATCACGAAGACCCCTCGGTCTCCATCCCTACGGCATCTGTATTTGATGCCAGGGGCTCTAACACAAGCCCACCTGGCCTTGCACCCCTCCGTCACCTTTATTTGATAATGGGGGGGGGGGGGGGGGGGTCCTTACAAGCTCCTTAGCTTTTTCATGCAGGATCTAAGGCTGATCTTGGATATCCCCTCATCAGATGGATACAACCGCCGCTCAACAATCAAGGCCGAAGGGTGCACTCCTTTTGCTTCATTCTGAGGGCATCCGGTGTACTCTTTTTCCCTCATTAGGATTTTTTTCCCACAGGGTTTTTTCCTAATGGGGTTTTTAACGAGGCATCTCCCCATTGTGGAACAAAAGGCGTCACCCCTCGGCGGCTCCTGCTGAAGGCATGCATCACTCTACTCCTGTTTCCCTCGAGAAACTCTCGGCAAAAGGAGTGGGGGACTGGGGGACTCCCCTCGGCAAAACACGCAAATGTTAAAAATTTTCTATTTCTCAGCTACAGCAAGCTGAGGCAAGATCACAACGGCAATCTTCTCCCCTCGACACGATGCCTTCGGCCACATGATGACTTCGGCCACACAATGCCTTCGGCCACATGATGCCTTCGTCCACATGATGCCTTCGGCCGCATGATGCCTCCGGCCACATGATGCCTTCGGCTACACAAAGCCTTCAGTCAACAAATGCCCTCGGCAAAGCACACAAATGCAAATCTCTCATTACTTTACAAACTACAACAAAGAAATACATACGAGCAACACACTTACACTCCCTTCAGGAAGCTATCTTCCCTCGACATACGGGGGAATTGAGATAATGAGGCACCCAACAGAACAGGGAAGCCTTCGGGGAAATCACCACAGCTACTCCTTTTCCCTCAAGTACCTTTCGGCAAAAGGAGTGGGGGACTCCTGATGGAGTATATGGCCCAGGGACCCCCGACCCACATACTTCCTCTACTACAATCAGGCCCAACAGGCCCAAACGGTCCAAGCCCAGAAAAATGGAGCTCTAAGCAGCCCACAATACGCAAAGGGGTGCCTTCGGCCCCATGGCCGAAGGCTACCAGTGACAGAATCGAGCTCAGAAACATCACAGGAGAACAAGGTTTGAAAACCAAGCCTTCGGCACCTGCAGCCCTCGGCAGGTAGGAGCCCTCGGTTAGAAGAGCCTTCGGCCCAGCACCCTTCAGCCGAAGGCATCCACCTCGACAGAATATCCTCTTCACATGCGCCTGGATCACCGTACCAAGTACAAACGTCACATCCAACCACCGCATTTAATGCGGCCACATGCGAGTGTCAGTGCCACCCCGGTCGAGGTGACCCCTCGACCACCAGAAAACTGACACGTGTCCTTATCTAGCATTTATTACTACTATAAATAGCACCCCATTTCTCCATTTGTAACCAAGACACAACACGCTGAAGATGCTTAATACATATCGAATATACACTCTCTCTCTTACTTATTTGCTCTGACTTCTCTCTACTTATTCTCCGCAATAACCCCTCGGATAAGCTACCCCACGGGTACACTATCCATCAATTTGTTGCTTGAACGTCACGACATTTAAATTGAGCATCAAACCTCCGCTATTTAGATGAAAATCACGGTTTCTGGTGAGTGAGCATTAATGACCTTTTAATGAGCATCGGACCTATTATGTTGAGTATTAGGAGTCTAATATTCAGAATCGTGATCTCTGCTTCATAACTTATAATTCATTTTCTTTTTGTTATTTTTCCTTTTATAAAAGCTTTTTAAATTATATTTATAATCAACTCCTATGAAATTTTCATTGAACATCAAACTTCCTCTATCGAGATTGATGAAAATCACGATTTCTATTAAATGAGCATTAATGAATTTTTAATGAGCATCACACCTATACAATCAAGGGAATTAATTAGCACTTTATCTTTAATAAACTAATAAATGTTCATCTTAAATTAAAAATAGAAAAATAAAACATTCGTATCTTAAATATTCATCATAAATTAAAATCAAGGGAAAAGGTGGTAAAGAAGAAAAGGACAAAGAAATAAAAAGAATCTACATAAAAAGCCAAAAAAAGACGAGTCAAAACGGATGACTTGAAGGTGGTCAGGTAAAGATTTAAGAGAGCATGTGTACGTACGGTGGACTATTAGCCGACAGGGAATGATACGGACGGACGAATTAAACCATCCACGTCATAAATGATTACGAAAAGAATGGATGTATAGGTACACCCGGGTGTACCTTATAATTTGCCATTGTATGTGGCTGATAGATTTCGTTTTTTTATCATCAATTCCAACCCATTTTATTAATTCAAACAATTGTTAGCCAAAAGGCTAGCAATACAAGCAGACAGAATATCATAGCTACTACACTGATCTGGGATATTAACATGTGCTCTTGCAATTGCATGAGTCACACGATTCGCAGACCGTTTACAAAAAGAGACAGAAAACATGCTCTTTGTTTCTAACACTTCCTTGATATCATCAATAATAATGTGCAGGTAGGAGGAGCCCCCTCCATTCTTTATGTTCTTTCAGTCGTCATAGCATCAGTCTCAAATTCCACCCGGTTGCATTCTGCCTCAATTGCCCCTGTTATAGCTTCTTTTACTCCAACCGCCTTAGTTTCGACCACTGACCAATTTGCTTCCACCGCCTTAGGGGCCCCTTGTAGTGAGGGGTTCCCTGAGGAGGACGGCCTCTGATGAACTGAGATAGGTGGCCTGCCTGTATCAACCTCTCAATGGTCGTCTTCAACTGATGGCAGTCGTCGGTCATGTGCCCTTGGTTGTGATGGAACCGACAGTAAGGATAATTGGGGTTGATGGCGTATACCTCTAGGGGTGCACAAGAGTCGCGCTCCACTAGGCCCCTCTCCCCGGCAAAGTCTAGGATGACACTGACGGGGTGTGTCAAGGGCGTCCGAGGGTGCTCCAAGAGAATGGGCTGGACCCAAGCCTTCGGGTTGCCATTGTAACCTCCCACGGGCTTGGCTTGGCCATGCCGGGGGCGATCACCGGGGGGCGCTGAGCTTTTGGATTGATTGGGGGGAGCCCCCGGCCCCCGGTTGCCTTTGTCATCTGGCAGAGGGCGTTGCTGATCGGGATTGTGATGACATTTTTTCACTTCCTCAGCCTCGGCGTACCGGTCCCCCCGCTGTAGGGCCCTTATGTAATCGCGGGGTGGTTCGATGATGAAGCTCCTTGAAAAGTTCTCGGGCGGAGGACTGTTTGAAGGAGGGCGAGGAGGGTCCCATCGTCAGCGCCGTCAACTTTATCCGCCTCCGTCTTCCAGCGCTCCAAGAAGTCCCGAAGGGTCTCCTCCTTTCTTTGTCTCACCGTCACCAAGTGGGAGAAATGTTTCCTT